CAAACATACGAGTGCTTCGCTGTTCAAAGGTCTCAGTGTTTTCTTACGACGATTTGGACGATATCGGGCTAATCAGTGAACTCAAACAACTCCGGGAACTGTCTTTAGATCTGTCGGCAAAGTCTCTGGTCTTGTATTTGGATGATGTGGTGTATGGACTGATGCAGGGCTGCCCTCACATGACTAAACTGGAGTTGTTTAACGCTTTCCTATCGGATCGATCACTCGTACACATAGACAAGTATTGGAGACAATTGTCTCACCTGTCGTTAAACACACAAATGAATCCTAATATTAGCGGCGAAAGCGTAAAATCCATTTGCGGTCTCAGAAATTTAAAGTACATTAATCTCAACGGAACCAATGTTTGTGACACTTTTGCCAGTGTGTGTCAAATGTGTACAAAACTCAATGATATTAATTTAGAGTATACTTTAATTACTAACAAAACGGTTGAGTCAGTTATTGAGGCGGCCGTCAGCAGACCTTTGGATAAAATATGTTTAGACATCGCCGGCACTAACACTGATATTCACGCATATATTGTTCCCTCAAATCTCAAAATATTTGTCTAAATTTATTATATAAAATTTCTATTATGTTTCGTTTTCCGTCATTTTTCAATTAAATCTATTAATATAATACATGTATTAATAAAATTAATATTAAAATTTGATAAAATGTGCCTGGGTCAAATTTTAGACAATTTGTAATTATCCTATATTTAACAGTACAATAAAATTATCTGAAAACACAAATAAAGAGTGTTTAGTGTTAAGTGCAAATTAATTTTGAGATGATTTACTTTGCTACTTGATGAACTGATAGCAACAGATGGTAAAAATAGAAATTCCTTAATCATGTGGACCAATACATGTGTGGTTTGGGTCAACATTTGGTGTATTGATTGCTAAATTTATAATCGTTTCACTCATTTTACATTAAAGATAATGAAAAATTCTAAAGAGATTTCATTTCTCAGAATTAGTGAATTTTATTCAAAACAAAAGACGTAACTGCAAGAAGAATATCATTTAAATAATAAATATAAATTCACATTTGTATCAATAATATTGATTCAATACATAGAGATGTTAGTGATGTTAAGGTGACATTTGGTCAATGTTTAGGGCTTTCTCTATTTACTAAATGAATGAATCATTTTTGTAATTTAAACCAAATTAGCTATTATTATCTACAAAATATCAGAACATGCTACTCAAAACATTTTATTTGTCGTAAATTATTATTTTGTAATATCAAATTTAAAAAAAACATTTTTTAAAGTAAAATATTCTCAAAATACATAACAGAATTTTTAAGAATTTTGAAAAATTTCACTAAATTTAAAATATACATCAAATAACATTTTTGAATTGTTTTAAATGATAAATCTTCCAATCAATATGCTGATTATATATTTCAGCTAATTAAAAGTATCTAAATAAAAAACATGAAAATTTTACATTTTTATAAAATTTAGATTAGTTTCAAAATTTAGCCTAAATGAAAGATTCATTTGAATAGTTATTTCACTGAAATTTTCATTCCTATATACACCGCATGCTAATTAAGAATATAGATGTATTAAATATCATAGATATAAATTAGATATCATTTACATATTGTATTAGATTTTAATCAATGGTTTAGTACAGCCATTTTTGATTTTACCATATAAAATATTGTTACTTATTTAATAAACTAAGTTTTATTGATGTGAATATTAAGCAATTAATTTTTAACATCATAATTGAATTAAAGATACACGATTATTTATAGTAATATTAAGAATAAAGGTAGTTTACTCGTAATTGGCTATTGATAAACAATACAAAGTACAATAAATTTAATGATTAAATGTACCCATTTCTACAATTTATTGCTCTACCATGATTTAATAAAGCTTTTCATTTAACATCACATTATGTTGTCCTACATTTTAAAGCTTATTTTAAATAAAAACTTATATTCTAAAAGAATAATGATTTATAATTACTTAAATTACTATCAATACTAAATTAGCACTTATTTTTAAAAAGTTAATAGAAATACAAATTGAATTTATTAATTATTTAATAAAATAATTTGAAAATTAGTTTAATTATAGACAAATGCATGTAGTGAAAAGTGTGTCGGTATCAAAATTAAATCAATTGAGATGAACTTATTATCATTGATGTGTTGGTGCTTATGTTAAGCTAAAAGTCTGAATTCAAAATTGATAATCAAGTTTAGTCAATATTATACATAAGTTATATATAAATATTTTTCATATTTACGGTTAGAAACAATTGTTACATAAGACCGTCACCAATGAATTATTATATAACACAGACTGTAATGCATATATTGTAATAAAAAACCTGATGAAGCACTTGGAGATTAACTAGAAGTTAATTGTAATGATTAGATAACAGAATATGACATTTGTGTTGAATAGTTAGAAAAGGCATTGTTATCGCAATCCGTAAATATTAAAACAAAACGAGAATTCAATGATAACAGAGACGATAAATAGTGGAAATTGAGTGCGAGTGAGAGAATTGAAGAGTTTATAGTTTATTGGTATTACATTTTTAGCGAAGATATGTTGTAATATTTAGCCATTGATATTACCCACGGATTGATTGTCTTATAATGTGAACCATACATATGTCATAAGACACTCTCTCTACGCGTGCAACCATTCAATTGAGTGCTTCTCTCAATATTCTTAAACCATTTCTTACATTCCTTATAGAAGTTATAGGAGTTATAAAATTATTTGTCTTCTTATCTACAAATTGAAAGCCATTTTCATTAAGAAATAAAACTTTTAACAATGAATTTCATTGAGAGAGACACGCATTTCAGGGCTGAGGCGAAGAGTTTTTGCGATGTTTGCGGTGACAAAGCCCGCGGCTGTAACTTCGATGCCATCACTTGTGCCTCTTGTAAGGAGTTCTTCAGACGAAATGCTTTCAAACAAAAGGTAAGTGTTTTCTATATAAATATTTCATAACAAAACGAATCCATAAGTGCTTACCATATGTTGAATACTTTGAAAGGGTCTGAAGTGTTACTTCCAAAACAACTGTACCATTGATGTGGTGTCGCGAAGATTCTGCGCCTCGTGTCGGCTGCGGAAGTGTTTCGGCGCCGGAATGAAGAAGGAATACATCATGAATGACGAACAAAGACACGCCAGGAAAGTGAAGATTATCGAGAAGAAGAGATCCAAACATTCACCGACGGATAACTCGCCTTTTGATAGACACATCTCTAAACACTTCGACGATATGGCCAGAGATGACGAAGACGTCTATCCATTGGAGGATCAAATGGACCATCAGGTGACTCAATGTGACGACAGTCCGTCTCCGACATCGTCTCCGTATTCTCCTTCCATCGCAACTAAAGGCCCAAAGAGTCCGGACCTTCCGATCGGAGCGATAGTCAGTTCTGATGTCTATGGCATCGAAGAAAAGCCTAAACTAGCCTTCAATTACACTAAGGAAGAGATGTTTGCAAAATATGACAAATCAGACGACAGAAATCCTGACCAGAATATAAAGTCTTCGGCAACAGATGTGGAATCGATAACAAAACTAATGAGTAAAGTAAAGGTCATCAGAGAAAGCAGTTATTATCCGACAAAATACGCCCTTTTATGCAGAGCTGGAAATACTAAACAACAGTTAAGTCCGAAAGAGAAGCACAAACTGAAACACTTGACGTCAAACATACAGATAATGCAAGCGGAGACCATCCATGAGCTGCCCTGTAGTGGACGGTTCATCGATGTCCTCAAAATTACTGAAATCATAACATTTATGTTAATTAAAATGTGCAAAAAGTTAACCGCGTTTCAGAATCTGAGTCAATCGGATCAGATCGCACTCGTGAAGGGCGGGTGTATGGAAACACTCATCTTGAGGTCCATTATGACCATCAATCTGGAGAAGGAGTGCTGGGAATGTTTGGTAATATTATTCATTCAATATAATATTGTTTAACAATATAAAGAATTTGAGAAATAATATGAATTCTGTATTAACTAATGAAAACAATTTAGGATTTGGAGAGAAGCTGCAAATTCTCGCTAAAAATGGAAGTTTTAAAACAAGTGAACCAAAAGGTATACGAAGCGCACCGGAGGTATGCCCTGTCCTTTGAGCCCGAGTGGAGATTCGATGATAACGTCATGTCCTGTTTGATCGCTATCTGCATCTTCTCGCCCGACAGACCTAACTTGGAAGCCGTCGACGACATCAGGTATTCATACTTAAAATGCACTCTTATTTAAATGAATAATAAAATTGTGATACAATTTGTGGTACAGAGTTGAACAACAGGGTTATATAAGTCTACTCAAGAGATACCTACAAACCATATACGACGAGACTTTGGGTGAAAGTATATTTTACAAATTGATGGATCAGTTGAAGTTCACGGCCACCACTAGTGAAGTGCATATTAAGGCCTATTTCGATGTGAGCACGAGTCAGATCGAAGAGACCGGAATCGGGAGTCTAATGATGGAAATATTTGAGCTCAACTCGAGAACTGCCGCCGACAGCAAAGACAACAACTGATCCCATAGTAGTTATCGCAAGAGATAACAAAGAGATAACAGAAACCCTTGTAATCACCGCATAAGCGATGCAAAAAACTTAATGTTTTCCCATCAGATCCGATATATGACAACAATTTTGAATTAAAATTCATAAATAACTTATAAACCAATTTGTTTATAAGGGGTGGAGAGTGAGGCCGACCATCGGTTTAGTTAATAGTAGTCAAAAGATTACTACAAACGTCTCCTTTCATTGAGTTTTCGGATCGACTCAATCAGATTGGATCGGATGATGAGAACCGGGATCTATTTGGTCTTTCATCGGATTGGTCTATAGCCCTAACCACTAAACAATTACCTTTATGTTTGCCATTACTATACTGTATACACCTTTCCTATAATATTACTATGAATTGCAGTAATTCTTAAGGTTATGATACCTTATCTATTGATAACTAAATATCTTTCGTTTTTTGCGTTTTGTATTAAACAAAGAAATATAAAACTTTAACTAAACTATGCATAAAAGTACTGCAAACTCCTATTCAGCGCAAAAGTTAATAGAAAATTACACTTATATTTAATAATTACATTAATTTTCACTTTTTTCTGTATAAGAGTTAAACTAAATTATCAAAAATAAAATATTTAATCCAAAAAAAGTTAACCAAAAGTTTAATAAAACATTCAAAAAGAGTTGAGAAACAAATTGAATGAGAAATTGAATGAATGTTTGAGTGAAACGTATTTATTGAACGAGTATTTCGTCGTCTCATAAAAAGGCGATCAAAACGTATCGTCCGTTTCAGTCGTCTTTCACTACAACTCATTCAACAAATCAATAAATCAAAGCCTAAATCGTCGACCATTTTAAGTCCCAATTATTGTATTATTTCAGTGACTGTTGAGTGACTATAACTGCAGAGGAATGCCTCCCCAACCGAGTGGTGGTAAAGCCGTGAAGAAGACAGGAAAGGCTCAAAAGGCCGTCCGAGCCGTCGATAAGAAAGGCAAACACAGGAAGAAGAGGAAGGAGTCCTTCAGTATCTATATCTATAAAGTAAGCCATTGTTTGAGCCATAATATGACGACTAATCCGTGTCTATGTGTGTATGAACTGTGGATCAGGTGCTAAAGCAGGTCCATCCCGACACCGGCATCTCATCCAAAGCCATGTCTATAATGAACTCTTTTGTGAACGATATCTTCGAGCGGATCGCCGGCGAGGCCTCACGTCTCGCGCAGTATAACAAGCGGTCGACCATTACTTCCCGAGAGGTGCAGACGGCTGTCCGTCTCCTCCTTCCGGGAGAACTGGCCAAACATGCCGTCAGCGAAGGCACTAAAGCCGTCACTAAATACACTTCCAGCAAATGAGTGGTCGCTTAGCGCCGGACACCGTTTTCCCCCTTCTTTTACCTCAATATTTCTCTAAACATTTCCTCTTATTTTGATTCAAATGTATCCCAAAATTGAGTTATTATTCACTGATTTGACGTTAAATACTATTTTTAAACACTATGTTATCACAAATGCTTTGGAAATAATTGTTTAACACCTGAACTGAACGCAGGATTTATGTCTTAAAATTCAAAAAACACTTTAAATATATTTCTTCTAATTTTATTATTAAATTGAATTTAAAACAAAATGACTTCTCGTTTAATGTATTGAAAACTAATGATGCAATCAATTAAATAGACGTGTATTTGGTATTTGAGATTTGGTCTCTTATGTGAACTGTTTTTGCTTTTTTAGTTACAAATAAATATCTATTAAAATATGATTGAAAACAATTGAAGCGTTGAAATGACTTAACGCTAACCATCACTGAAATTGTTATAATTATCTTAAAAATTGGACTCAAATATAGCGCTAAAAACAGCGATAAACGCAACACATGTTTCAATACATTCACTATTGAAAGGCACCAAAAGAGCGGTCCATTTGGACGAGTATTTGAACAGCGATTGTATGGCCGAGGGTTTGGTCCCTTTGGTTGTGTCCTCACAGCCAATGGGGAGGAGTTTTGCATAACATTATTGTTGACGAAAACGTGACTTAAAATGTATGGAAAAGTTATTTAAATTGAATTCACTTTTAAATAGGGTTTCAATCGCTTTGAGGGACCGATCGGTCGTTGAATTGATGCCACGTCTGAGACCACGACTCCAGACAATCAATGGTCGCAGATATTCGTCCATTTGGTTCGCTTTGAAAGCCATACAAAACAACAAACTCTTGCGCAACGGTTTGACTCATAATTATCTTCTCATGAATGGTCTGATGGACAGCGCGCCCGAAGACGGTGTCCAACACATGTCCATCAATGGCTCGAGAGATGACAATTCAAGTACGGAAGCGACCAATGATAAGGCTGTGGCCAAAGACAGCGGCTTTAAAGTGATTGAAGTGAACGACAAGTCGGCACTGGTTTCGGTCTCCGCTGAAGAGTTTGATTACGAACTGAGTTTCGGTGCCATTCGTTGCACTCTATTATCACCCGATTTTGACATTCATTTGAATGGATTTACTCTAACCACCGATGAATCCATTGATTTGACGGCTGTTTTCGGTCATAAAGTGCTCATTAAATGTCAAAAGAATAGCAAAACTGAGAAGAAGACAATCGATGGTCTGAGAGAAAGATTGCAGACATTGGGTGCGAAAGACTTGGAGTCAGTTATGAATCAATTGGAAAGCAATTCATGTGTGATATTAACGGAGAAGTTGTCGTCGTCTTCACTCCTATATCTGGAAAGCGTTCAAAACTTTAAGCCATTGAATGTAAAGTCCGATTGGTTTGAAATGAGAACCGTTGGAACCAATGGTTACGAAAGTATTAAAGTTTGGGACAGACTGTCGGACGAGCTCTCATTCACGGCAAACGACGTGATTATAGTCACCGGCGGAACAAATGTCGGCAAAACGAGTCTTATTCGGCGTTTGATTAACCGATATCTGAGTGCAAAGACAGCAAATGGTGATCAAAGAGAGTGCGTTTTCATGGACTGTGATCCGGGACAGTCTGAGTTCAGCACTTCAGCCCAATTGAGTTTAACGCACATTCAGAGCCCGATCTTAAGCTCAACGGTTCTAAATGTGACTAAACATAAGCCATTGATGGCCTGCTCTGTGGGCTCAACCTCTCCGAGCAAATCACCCAAACTTTACATCTCTAGTGTCTCTCATTTAGTAAAGTATTTTAGAAATAATTTGCAATCAAAAGGACCCCTATTTGTGAACACAATGGGTTGGACTCGAGATCTCGGTTTAGCACTGCTCACAGATATTATCAAAATAGCGCTTCCGACTCATGTCTTGCAAATGAACTCAACGGCCGACAAATCGATTAATTTTGGCTTTGATTTGACGCCAGAATTGGTGAAGAGATACAACGGCTACCGATATATCGGTTTCGATCGAAACAAAAGTCTTAGATATAAACTATCGATCATTGAGTCGAGTAATAGACGATCGAAAACATCTCAAACTATTCGCGATTTACAGCAGTTGTCATATATGTCTCAAATGCCAGACATTGCTTTCAAACCATTCTTCGCGATGACTCCATACAAGTAATTATATTTAGATTAACTTTTTTTGCTTGAATTTCTAGGAATATAATTATCTAATTGTTTTTCACTAAACACAGACTCTTGTGGTCCAAAGTCTACGTCAACATTATATCGGACTATCGTTTCCAACAGCAACTCTCGTTAGACATACTGAACTGTTGTTGGGTTCACTTGTGTCGACTCGATGGCCAAAGTCCCAGATATTTCATGAAGAATAGCCTCAAGATTATAGACTATATCGACGGCAACCAGTGTTTGGGTTCTGCTATCATTCGAGGAATCGATTTCCAGAAGAAATGTTTCTATATATTAAGTCCCGAGAGTCGAGAAGTACTCGATTCTGTCAACTGTGTTGTCAAACCATCGGGAGTACAGATACCCGAAAGACTGATATTAGAGCAGTTAAACCATTCTTCCACATCGAATCTGCCCTATATTTATACCAAAACTTGATTATCATATTTCAATAAATTGTTATCACGATTATTGTTACTCTTTTTAAACATTTGACCATATTTTACAGTATACTTGATATTAATAAAGATATTTCGCTAAATATTTTACCGGATTATAAATTGTTATCTTAGGATTAGCCTTAAGCATAATGCAGCGAATGATTTGGCTTTGATTATAAATGTTATTACATTTATTAAACACAGAGAACAGGTGTACTGACCAAGTAAAGTGTTTGAAAGTTTCAATAAAATTTAACAATATTTTAAATTTTCAACAATAAAAGTTGCAAACATTTTCAATCGATAAATAAGTGCCAAAAAAGTGAAATTCACAACAATTTTCGATCTCATCTCAACTCTACGCTAGAAGAATGTCTCTACTCTTTGATCCGACATATCCTCTTCACGTCCAGTATGTGGTCTCGCAATCCGTTTGGGATTTGTTTGAAATACATTTCTGGCAGATATTGTGCAACAAATGGGGCAAAAACAGAGCGTTTCTAACTTTGCAGTACAGATATGAAAAGGTATGTATTGAGTACAAAGTCTATCAATTCTTCACAGAGTTATTGCTTTTATGCTAAACATATGATCATATGATTTAACATCACTTTCTTGTCATTGTTTAGAAACGAAACGAAGTGAGAGCTGTGTTGTTGTTGGCAGTGGTCTTCCTATTGGCATATCTTATACAACGGTATATGAATTGGAGACGAAGACCAACGCAACAGCCAATTGGAGAAGCAGTAGAAGAGCACAACGGCGTCCGTCAGCGACCAGACAATCAACAGCCAAATGGGAACCGAGAGAGCGCTGGTTCTGACCACCAGTCGACACAGAACCGCGAGAAACGGGTCGACTCTAATCAGAAAACTCAAAACTAATCAAAAGTAAATTTCTGTCACAAATAAATGTCACAATAAATAAATCAACAAAAAAATATCGTGAAAATTGATTTTTACTTAAAGTTTATAATGTTTTACATATGGTTTTTAATAAACACTACAGAGAAACAGATATTTTCATTATTTATGATTTCAAAGAAACAGAAAACGATTTTTAAAAATAGGAAATCTTTTAGAGAAAATAGTAGAGGAATGGATGAATGTGTCGCTCAAATACATTGCAATGAAAACTACATTCAAACAACATAAACGCGACCACAAGATTGAATCAATGGTTTTAAATGTACAATAAGAGAGACGAGAAACAAAAATCAGATATTAATCTTAAACACGAACTTATGATTAAAGAAAAATCAAAAATAATTTAATACATTGTGTGAAAAAAAACAAAACTAATCATTGATTGATAGCAATTAAAAAAAAGTAATAATCGTTTGAATTTATAATTTGAATATCATTTCGGCGGGCATTTCGATGGCTAGTGTTGGCCGTGGAAGTGGTGGCCGCCGCTCTGCTCCTGATAGACCTCAATCACGTCGTCGTTCTCCATCTCGAGCAGCTTCGGAGTGTCCGTATCGTTGATACGGCGGCCGTCGAAGAGGAAGCGAAGAGAGCCCACCTGAACGCCCACCCGTTCGCTGTACGACTTCTTCAATTTGCCGAACTGAGTGGTCATTTTGACTCGAAAGTGGATTTCATTGCTGTCCTGTCCGACAACCTTCAGCTTAATGTACTCCGAGTTGGCGTCACCCGTCTCTGTCTTGGAATTGTCTGGCGGTGTAGACATTGTGTTTCGCTTTAGTGTTTGGGATGTGTTTCGAGTGCCGGCTCTGTATCTGAGGTGACATCAAAACACAAAGACAGGGTTATAGCGGTTACGCCATGTGTTGGACACTCTTATGGACACTGACCTGAATTGCAATCAATGGGCAAATGAGTGGCCAAAAGGGATAAACCGATGGTTTGAATGATTTGAGTGATTGACTGATTCACTGATAACTCAAACACGCGTTGTATTGAAGAGAGAAAGCAGTGAATGAATGAACGCAACAATAAAGCGGTGAAACAACACTCACTCCACTCGTTGTGCCCACAGTTTTGGCGCATTTCCACGTATAGTACGGCCCGAAACACAACCACTTTTGCCCCCCAAACACACTGACCGCCCCTTTCGGACCCCCAATCGACCACTAATTGACCACTTTTTGGCCACATTTTGTTCGTCATATTTATAACAAGCGATTTGTATGAATAAATTTAAATATTAGCCCGTGGTGGTTAAATTGATCATGTTAATTTAAATATAAATTAAATTTATCGACCAGTTGGTACCTTTACAGCCGACTCTACGTAAGCACTGAGCGAACAATTACTATAGGAATCATCAAAAAATAAACTCAATAAAAGGTACCAAATGTGCGGTTAATAAAGGCATACGTAATACTAGTGTTCAAAAAGGGTTCAAATGAATATTTAATGACGAAATTAAGAGTTTAATTTTGGGGTTAATCTAAATTAAATTAGTTTAATAGGGATTAAAGTCCGCAGAAATGCGTTGAAATGATGGCCAAATAATTGATACCACGTTTGAAACGCGGATCAAACGGAACGCAAACTTATAGTCCGTCACAAAAGCGTTACGATATTNAAATTAGTTTAATAGGGATTAAAGTCCGCAGAAATGCGTTGAAATGATGGCCAAATAATTGATACCACGTTTGAAACGCGGATCAAACGGAACGCAAACTTATAGTCCGTCACAAAAGCGTTACGATATTTGGGCGCAAATGAGTGCCTATTTGTAACACTAGTCCTCAGGAAAACACTATTCAAAGTGTAATCATTAGAAAACATTTGGGAAATGAATGAAAAATGCAATCAAAACACAAACAATGCATTGAAATGTGAGACAAAATTGGTGTCAATTGTAATGTTTTAGTAAATTAATGTTTAATACAAAGTTTAAGTCTCGCATCCATTGCTTATAATTGTCAACAAATGTATAAATTGTGCGCAAAATGAATGAATGCATTGATTGAGTGATTGAATGGCCGACACTTCTAAGGTTAAGGTAAGTGCGGACACGGGTTACAGCCTTCGGGTGTTTTTGACCACATGTTGTCTAATGTGACGACCATTTGGTTGTGTATTCTTCAGGATATCTTAGATACGTTTCGGACGGAAGATCTGCAGGAAGTGCTGAAGGAGTTCCGATTGCCGTTCATTGGCCGCAAAACAGAGCTCTTTCAACGCGTTTTGTCACTCATTGATGACAAAACATACGATTCAGACGTGTGTCTGAAAGTGAAACAACACATCCATCAGATCAACGAAGAGAGAGATATGTCGCCAACGCTCGACACTTACGCCTCGAAAGGCAGGAAGAGGTCCACTCGCTATGAGTCGGACGACAGCTATAATGAGAGCAACGATGAGGCGTCCGAAGAAGAGGGAGAGTTAGTGGACGACGAAGAGTCGGATGCATTCGTGGTGTCGGATAACTCCGATTCCAGTGATTCCGAAGACATCACGAGTAAGAAGAAGAAGTCTACTAAACGGAAGCGAAACGTGACGAGTGGTAGCAGTGATGAGTCGTCGGACGCGGACTCAGACAATGTGTTTCAGAAATTTAGGAACAAATCCCGATCTCAGCGACAGAAGGAAAAAGAGGAGAAGAAAGAGAAGAGAAAGCGTGAAATGCAAAAGAAGTTGAAGAGATCGGGAAAGAGTACGCGATTGCTATACGAGTCGAGCAGTGATTCAGACAATTCATCGGAAGACTCATTGAAAATTAGGTCCAAAACAAAGAAGTCAAAACCGCCGCTCAAGTACTTAAGCGACAGTTCCAGTGATGCTTCAGTCGCACGCGTCAGCACTACTAACCATCAAAACACTGTGGAAGAAGACAGCAGTGATGACGACATTGAGATCATCGCTGAGATCCCAGCGGAACGGTCGACGATTAACCGTCAATATAATTATTATAGTATAAAATCGGGTATAAAATGTGATCCGCTTCCCAACCATTGGGATTGTTTTGCTTTAATAATGTTTATATCTTAACAATACTAACATTTACTAACACTACTAACGCATTATTCTATTACTTTAATGTGAATTAAAACTTAAAACTTAGATTTTTTAACACTTAATTTATGTTAATTGAATTTACCACTGATTCTAACATAGACTTATTAATGAATAGATAAGTGTTAAATGCTATAAAATTGATTGAATAACTAATGTATTTTAAGAATATAATCTTAGATTAAGTTTGCATTATTCATATGGACTCTAATTGTGTTTAAGATGACCTTTTTGTTTAACAAATGCAAGCAAAATGCATTGTTTAATAGCTCTAACATTAAATGTTATCTTAAAAATAGTCACAATTATAGCCCATATTTGATGAATAGTTTACTTAATGACTGATAAATACTTTATTTATTTACAGACGGTATGAGTACATCAGATACTGAAGGTAGCTCTGCTTCAGACACGTCCGACAAGTCAGACACGGATCACAAAGCGTACACTTTATCCGACACATTGACACATCTATCGCGACAATTGGAAACTCTGGTGAGAAGGGAGGCGACACCTGTTCCTGCCGTCGCCTCACTTCGACCACCCGTCGCGACGGTCACCACATGTGCTACAAGTGTCTCCTCACGAGTGTCACCAGAGTTACAGACTCAAGAAATCGATTCTCAGAATCTAAATAACGATGTGATACTCGACTCTTCGAGTGACCGCTCCAGTGATATTGTGTCAAACAATAACAGTGTTAGTGTTTCACCGCCTCTAGTGACCAGTTCTTCACCAAAAGTTCCGAAAAGCAAACCTCAATTGAAAAGCCCAGCCGTTGTGCCCGTCATTGATGTTAGTCTTTATATCAATTGTTTGCGATTACAATGTATTTAACTAATGAACGATTTGTGTTTTCAGGTGAAACCAACGCCAGTTGTGGCTAAACCAAAGTCACCGGAAGCGCTGGCTGTAGCGCCACCCGAACCACAACAGCCGCGAACTTTTGTTTCAATATTGGAAGTGAGAACTCCCGATGAAGTACCGTATGCACAGTATACTGTCAAGAATGGACAACAAATTACGATCGAACCGCCGCCTAGATTACCTCATTCTGTCAAAATTAGAGTTCTTCCCTCCTATACTACTATAGAGAGAAGTATGTGTTTTGCTTTTAAGTATTTTTAAAAATATATTAATTATAAATTAAACTTAATTACAGTTAAAAGGTTGTTGAACTCCGACAGTGACGACATCGAGACGTTGGAGCAAACATTGAAAGTTTCTCTCATGTGTCCCGTAAGTGCTTTGCATTACTGTTATATTATAAATGTGTAACAATTGTCACTATTGTGGTCAATGTGAGCCAATCACTCCCAGTCATATTCCACCCGTCCATTTCATTAGTCTATTCTCATTAATGACTTATCACTGCCCCTCTCGTCCATCACCTCATAGCACACTATGAAAAATAGTTTTGCAATAATCACAACAATTATTGTTAGTAAGTTATGCAGTATATTATATAAGCCCAACGATTGTGAGCACTTTAATAAGCCTATAGTAAGCTTATCGCTATTGTGGTGAATGCCATCGATCATAATTAATTACAATATTGCTGACCGCCGATCACTTTGGGATCAGTTTATACAATTGAATTACTATTTACACTAATTATTTACTATTGAATCTATTGGCAGATCAAAGGCACAGTTGTGATAATACCGAGTCGTTCCATCAACTGTCATCACATCGACTGTTTCGATATCAACAACTTTTTCGGAATAAACTTTAATAAGAAAATTGACAACTGGAAGTGTCCCAAATGCAAACAACCCGCTAAACTGGAACAACTCGTTATTGATAGGTTTGTCTCTTCATTAATATCTTAAATGCTAACCATTTTGTTGATTACTTTGATTAACTGTATAATTGATTGGTAGCCAAATGGACCACATATTAAGAATGACGAGAGCACTCGATTCGTCGGTAGAAAACATCACGTTTGACAAACACGCCGTTTGGATGCCAGAGACCAAACGACCCGATAATTGTGTGTATTATTGTATTTATTCGTAATGTTCTTAATAATGAATTGTTTGCTCTTTCAGTTGTGTCTAAGAGTAGTGACAGTAAAGTCATATCTCTGGACACAAGTTTAGACGCCGAGGAGATCATAGATATCGATGACGACGAGGAAGTGGCCAACGATTCCAACTCTAAGACAAACTCACTCTTAAACACATACGCATTGATCGCGTCGGCCAAGAGTTACCAGAAGGACATCACAAGTTTTGTGCAGACAAACAAACAAAACGATAAAAGGGCGCCAAATGCAGAGAAGGAGGCGTCCATCAATAATATCGTCCAGTTTTTGACCACTGCTGAGCAGGAAGTGAACCGCTCGTCTCGGCCCATCACCACTCACACGTCTACAACTGTCGGTAATCGACAGAATATTAATTTAGTTATTACTAGACCGCCCGGCACTCAAAACACTGCTACTGCTCCGCGCAATACGCGAGTGACCGTACGGCCGACCAATGCTGGACACGCAGTCGTTTATAACAGAGCGCCGACAACTGTTAACGTGACGAACACCACGGCGTCGGCCACAACGTCCACATCGAGTCCAGCGGCGAGAGGGGACTATGTTTTCAAGTTTGCCAACGGATTGGTCAGTGGTATTCACTGCAAGATATGCGCCGTTGATCTCAACATTTACAACAAGGATCCCCAGAATATATTAAATCAACACGTGAAGGGCGCTCAACACAAACTGATGGAACAAAGGCGTGGCCAACAGAACGCAACGGCTCACCAATCAGTGCATCCAAATAATTCACTGAATAATAATAATAATTTCCATAATCGGCAACCGACTGGTGTGTCGGCACAGCAGCCGCAGCCGCAACAAGTCTATAACCAACACTATGCGTTCGGTTCGGGCGCTACCGGTTATAGTAATCAATATCCGGCCCGAAACCCGTTCGCGCCAATGGAAACACCGCAACACTACGCGCCCAACAACCAGATGTACCCGTCGACAGGCTATATGATGCCTAATGTTGTATACCAGCAGCCAATTCCACAACAGCCGGGCCCTCAACCCGTGCCACCGCCCGCACATTCCGCACCCATGTACACGTACCAGTGGAATAATGGCCAGCAAAGTGGTTATTATAACGGTTATCGGTGATTACCATATAAATTAAGTGTTGTGTGCTTTTGGACAGTAATTGAAATAAATGTATCGCTTCATTACCATTAAAATGTGTTCATTGAAATCATTATTACATATGTAAATAAAGTGCCTCTAAATTTAATTATATTTTTAGTGAATTTTGTATTTATAAAATAAATTTAACTATTCGATTTATGCATTACATTGATTTTGATTCAAATAAAAGTTAGTTATCTTTTAATTGTGTTTTAATACATGATTTTTATATCAATGAAACCTATAATNAGTGCCTCTAAATTTAATTATATTTTTAGTGAATTTTGTATTTATAAAATAAATTTAACTATTCGATTTATGCATTACATTGATTTTGATTCAAATAAAAGTTAGTTATCTTTTAATTGTGTTTTAATACATGATTTTTATATCAATGAAACCTATAATAATTAAAATGAAAAATTTAAAAGCAAGTTGTGATGACATGCTTTCAAATCATTTAATCGCAAAATTATTCTAATTGTAAATAACCTATTATTTGATAATTAAAACAAAAAACCATAAAACAATGTCAAGATGTGAATATAAAGTGATGTCAATTTAAGAGTTGATATAATATATAATCATTTAATCGCAAAATTATTCTAATTGTAAATAACCTATTATTTGATAATTAAAACAAAAAACCATAAAACAATGTCAAGATGTGAATATAAAGTGATGTCAATTTAAGAGTTGATATAATATATAAACGCTTTTGATACCTATTTAATTTTATTTAAATTTTTTTGTGATCAGAGATAACAAAATATGAGTAAACAGTTTGAAGACCCGAACGCCAAACCGCGCTGTCTTTGGTCACTACACAAGTCGTCGACGGCCACTGACCCACACTTTCACGACACACTTACAGCTAAGCCTAAGATATTGTCCAATATATTGGAACAGATCGGAGACACACCACTCGTGAGGCTAAACAGGATTCCCAAAGAGTATGGCATTCGGTGTGAAGTGTTGGCCAAATGCGAGTACTTTAATGCCGGCGGAAGTATTAAGGATAGGATCGCCCTTAAGATGGTCTGCGACGCCGAACGCGATGGTGTGCTTCGGGAGGGATTCACTATCATTGAGCCGACGAGTGGTAACACTGGTATTGGGTTAGCGATGGCGGCAGCGGTTAAAGGATACAAATGTATTTGTGTTTTGCCACAGAAAATGTCAAACGAGAAGGTGAATGTATTGCACGCTTTGGGCGCTAAGATTGTCCGCACACCCAATGATGTGAGTTATGACTCGCCTTATAGTGACATTAAAGTGGCGCAAAAGCTCTGCCAACAGATCAAGAACTCAGTAATTTTGGATCAATACCGCAATGTTAACAACCCTTTGGCCCATTACGACAACACCGCTGAAGAGATACTCCAACAGACAGATCATAACGTGGATATGGTTGTCGTGGGCGCCGGCACTGGTGGTACTCTCGCAGGCATTGGTCGTAAGTTTAAAGAAGTGTTGCCCGACTGTAAGGTGATTGGTGTGGATCCGTTTGGATCAATACTCGCACAACCGGAAGATATAAACAAATCGGACACAACTTTCTACGAAGTGGAGGGTAATGGACATGATTTTATTCCCACTGTTTTGGATCGAAGTGTTGTCGAAAAGTGGTATAAATCTGACGACAAGTCATCGCTAGAAATGTCTCGAAAGCTCATCTCAAAGGAAGGACTTCTCTGTGGCGGCTCTTCTGGCAGTGCAGTCGTGGCCGCACTGAAAGCTGCAAAAGAGCTCCGGGAAGACCAGAGATGTGTTGTCATACTTCCGGATGGAGTTCGCAATTATATGACAAAGTTTTTGGACGACAATTGGATGAATGAGAGAAACTTTGCCACAAATGCAGAATTGAATAATTAGAAACAAAGTTGATGTAGAATTGATAACAATTTCATGTATAATTGTAATCGTTGTTCCAATAAATAATTTGTCGCATTTTATAAAACATAAAAATATGTTTATTAAATACAATATTTTTTAATATAACAAATTTAAAATATATTACTAAAACAATTATTTTTTAAGTTAAAATAAGATCCTTGTTAATTGTAATTAAAATTATAATGAAATTGTAGGAATTCTAAATTATGATAATTGTTATAGATGATCGATAGATACAATTAATTATAAACTAGGTTCATAAATTATGAATCATAATTGACGCCATGATTATTCACAAGTTTGAAACCAAAGGCAGAGCATAATATGCTATTTAAATATTATTTTCATATTTGCGAAATACTGTTAAATAAATATTTTAACATTAGTTAGAATTTTACTATCATTTATAAAGATTTTAATAAATAATTGGCAATTCTTTTTATATTAATGAAAAAACTGATTTATAAATTAATAGAAATGGTTTAATAAAATGTACATTCTAGTAGTAAGAAAGTTTTATATAATTTTCACTTATCATTAGCTCATGTTTTTATCCAGGGTTAAAATGTTTTCTCAAATAACTATATTATAAAACTAAAAAACAAAAACTTTTCTAGAAATGAGCATGATTATATTAACAATTATAGTAAACAAAAGGTTAGGAATACAGAAGTATTAGTAAAATTTAAGACATATATAAAAGAATAAATAGTAAAAATAATATCAAAGTTTTATTAAGTTGTAATCAAGTTGTAACAACTGTTAACCAGATCTGAATTATAAGTAAAGATATTGTAAAATATGAGTAAACAGTTTGAAGACCCGAACGCTAAACCGCGCTGTCTCTGGTCACTGCACAAGTCGTCGACGGCCACTGACCCACACTTTCACGACACACTTACAGCTAAGCCTAAGATATTGTCCAATATATTGGAACAGATCGGAGACACACCACTCGTGAGGCTAAACAAGATTCCTAAAGAGTATGGCATTAAGTGTGAAGTGTTGGTTAAATGCGAGTACTTTAACGCCGGCGGAAGTATTAAGGATAGGATCGCCCTTAAGATGGTCTGCGACGCCGAACGCGATGGCGTACTTCGGGAGGGATTCACTATCATTGAGCCCACGAGTGGTAACACTGGTATCGGGTTAGCGATGGCGGCAGCGGTTAAAGGATACAAATGTATTTGTGTTATGGCAGACAAGAACTCTAAGGAGAAAGAGAAAGTATTGCACGCTTTAGGGGCTAAGATTATCCGCACACCGACTTCGGCCAGTTATCCCTCCCCTGAGAGTAACGTAAAAGTAGCTCAAAAACTCTGCCAACAGATCGAGAACTCTGTAATTTTAAATCAATACCGCAATGTTAATAATCCAATGGCTCATTACGACAACACCGCTCAAGAGATACTCCAACAAACAGACTATAAGGTAGATATGGTTGTAGTCAATGCTGGCACTGGCGGTACAGTTACTGGTATTGGACGTAAGTTCAAGGAAGTGCTGCCCGATTGTAAGGTGATTGGTGTGGATCCGTTCGGATCAATACTCGCACAACCGGAGGACTTGAATAAATCGGACA